TTTTCTCCGTCTGATTTGCATCGAGCCGCGACCTGCAGCTCGACTCGCTGCTTTCATCTCCACACTCATTACCAGCTAAATGTCAGCGCAGTGAAACCTCCTATCTGCACTCTGTGGCTGTTTACACCTTCACATCAGACGGCGACTTCGACGTTCTTCGCTGCCACCTTTAAAGTCCAGTTTACTTTACAGAAACATCCAGCAGAGTCCGCACGTGCAGCTGTGACCCACATCCAGAAAACACAGCAAGAAAACTTTGCAAATAAACTTTACTGAACCAGACTGCAGCCTCCAAACCAAACGGACTTCTGGGCTGGTGAAGATGAATCAACCTGCTGCTGGGAAACAACGATTTAATCAAAGACAGTGAAACAGGACGTCTGAAATAAACAATATGAACAACAAGGAGGAAAACTAAACATCACAAATTTTATCTAAACAAAGGAAAAACTGTGAAATTGAAATAAAAAGTCAAAACTATAAAAAACAAGAACTTGTTCATGAAAAATATAAAACCTGAGATAAAAATAAAATCCCTAAATGGCAATTTAAATAAAAGATTGTTTTTATTTTTCTCAGTCAGTTTTATTTTTTTATGCTGAAAAATGAAGCGTTCAAATCAGTTTGTGCAAAAAATAACGCTGAAAATGTGTCTTCCAAAAGTCTCTTTTTGTTGTGGTTTTGAGTGTCTTTGTGGTTGTTTTGTTTTGGGGTTTTTTTTGCCTTATAGTGGTTGTTTTACGTCTCCTTGAAATCAATGTTTGTCTCTGTGTGGTTGTTTTTTGTCTGAAGTTGGTTGTTTGGTTGCTTTATTTGGTCGTTTTGGAGTCTGTGGTCATTTTCTTTAAAAATTTGTGTTCGTTTTTTGTCACCTTGTGGTTGTTTCTTGCCTCTCTCCGTCTCTTTGTGGTCATTTTTTAGTGTCTTTGTAGTGGTTTTGCATCTGATGTTGGTTGTTCTGTTGTCTGTATGTATTCAGTTTTTTGTTGGTGTGTTTTTGTCTTTAAAAAATTACTGCTCCTTCAAATATTCTATAAATCTTCTCTATTTTTTTTAAATGAAAGGAATAAAATGTACTGAATTCAAACTTTTAAAACATTTCTCAGCCTTGCAGCAGCACAAACACTCTGACAGTTCAGTCCGAGCTAAAACAAGCGTGATAAATGTTACTGAGGTGACTTTATCCACTCAGAGCTCCTTCGCGGCAGCAAAATAAAAAAACAGGGCCGTCACTGCGTTTAAACCTGCAGCCGAAGATAAATCTCCGAATCTCGACAGTCGAGGCTGAAGCTGTCGTCACAAACACGCTGTTTATTCAGAAAAACCAGAGCGGGAGAAGACAGGACGACCTCCGGCTTCAGTTTCAGTGACCTTCAGGACCAAAATGAGAAACAGCAGCAGCTCGAGAATAAACTGAATAAACAGCAGCAGGAGGAGGCGTCTCTAAAAACAGAACTTTGGCTACATTTCTGAAATGGAGATCTGCTTCTCCTCAGTCAGAGTGGAGTCGATTCACTGCAGGCGTCCAAACTCCAACGGACTGGAAAATTCCCAGCAGCATGTTTCATGGTGTTCCAATGCTGTTCGTCTCCTTACATGAACTGTTCTGTTACTGACACTAATCTAAAACTGGGATTCAGCAGTAAACAGGACTTTTTTTTTTCTTTATCCATTGTGAAATTCTGCTCTGTCTTCGCCCACCCAAGTGTTTGTCCTCCTCAGAAATGGTTTACAGATGCTCCTCGTCCTCCGGGTTCACTTCTAGACAGCCTCCNAAGATACGTCACACCAGGAAGTCCGACAACTTCTGATGAAGGCTGAAGTGACAGCCGAAACTGTCAACGGGATAATTATCTCGTTATCTCGAGAAAACGACGTTCATTTTCTCGAGATAACGAGATAATTATCTCGTTATCTCGATAAAATGCCATTTAAAAAAATGCGCGGCCATGACCGCTCTCCGTACTTACCTGCGAACTGCTACTGTTAATATTGGTGAAGTAAAAAGACACTATACATTGTTTTAACTCATTCAACTAGCTAACTGACTTGCTACCTGTATATACACTAAGCTGCTAATTTAGATAAGCCATGTGTCATTTTTAAAATTGATTTTCCTTCGTTTTATTTTTTGTTTCGATCTTGTTTTCTGTCTTCCATTGTGAAGAACGTCGTGCTGTATATAAGCGTAACTAAGTCTGTTTGCTATTTTTGTGTTTATCGATCCAGTAATGAACATCGACGTTTAAAAGGTTGTAGTTTATCAGCGGTTGTGCAGCTGCTGTCGTCATCGACGTGTTAATAAAGGTTGATTAGAAGGCGGTGGCGTGCTGCTGCTGCTGTCGGGTCTTTTTTTATCAGAGTTTGCAGATTGACGAGGCCTCGGGGCCGATCAGCCTCACCGGGGGTCTAATCAGGGAGGATACATCAATCGAGGGTGATTGATTGGGAAAGTCTGGTGTTTCTGCGTGTTCTCGTACGTCTATGAAAACATATTTTTAGCGTAAACAGGAAACTCCTCCTCACAGCGTCAAACTGATTTGTCTGTAAAACCTATACTCACAACAGACCAGACGAATGTGGACAGCAGCAGATGTTCTGAGAGGGTTTACATAAAGGTTCAAAAGTAACTAAACAGACACACATGAATTCAAACAGATGTCATATTTAATAGTTGGTGGAAAATCCTTGTTCTGTCTGAGAGATTTCAGCTTCTTCAGTCCTTATTATTACTTGTGTGATCTCCTTTTTGTTCCTCATTTCACAGACAGCTGGACCTCAGTCAGTATCAATCGGCTCTGAACTTTTTATCTTTATGTTTTTTTAATGTTATCTGTTGTTAATCTATTATATTATTTTAATTTCACTTTATCAAAATCTACACTTGCCCTGTCTTATTATCAGCTGATCTCTTATCTGTGAAACACTTTGAACTGTACTAACCTGTATGGAAATGTGTCCTCCTTGGTCGTCTCCCATGAAGTCCACTTTGGCTCAAACAACGACGGATGGTGCCATCTGACACTGATGTACCTTGACCTTTGAGTTCACCTTTAATGTCTTTACAGGTTGTTCTGGGCTCTTTTGTTACCGTTCGTATTCTCCGTCTCTTCCATTTGTCATCAATTTTCCTTCTGCGGCCACGTCCAGGGAGGTTGGCTGCAGTCCCATGAATCTTAAATTTCTGAATAATATGTGCAGCTGTAGTCACATCAAGCTGCTTGGAGATGGTCTTACAGTCTTTATCTTTAACATGCTGGTCTATAATTTTCTTTCTAAGCTCCTGAGACAACTCTCTCCTTGGTTTCCTCTGGTCCATGTTCAGTGTGATACACACCATGTCAGTAAACACCACAGTGACTACTTGTAACACTATAAATAGGCCGACTGACTGATTACAAGTTTGTAGACACCTGTGATGCTAATTAGAGGAAACACCTTGATTGAACATGTCCCTATGGTCACATTATTTTCAGTCTTTTTTAGGGGTATCCATCATTTTTGTCCAGGCCTGTTTCACAAGTTTATTTTTTAAAATAATTCTGTTAAACCACGGTTCAAAAGCAATGTCTGACTACGTCTTCTATGAATTTTCATAGAATTTTTATTTATTATTACTTTTGTCAGATCAAAGTTATTCCTGTGACCATTGTGGGTTTTTCTTTCATTAACTGAGGGGTACCAACTATTTTGTCCACGTGTGCATATCTGGCAGATTATCACTGTGCTAACTGCTGCTAAGTAACAAGCTAATCTGGCTGCTAAGAACCTTAGCTTACTGATCTCCTAATAGCAAGTAAATATTTGCTACCTAGTCAAATGCTAACTGAACTGCTAGCCAAGCTGCTAATTGCTAATTGAACTGACAACAGCTAACAACCTACATGCTACCATCTAATTTGCAAACTGACAAAAGCTGACGGACCTGCTACCGTTAATAACTTGCTAACTGACCAGTTTTTTGACGTGGTAATAGCTAACTTTTACTTTATAATATTAAAATCATGTTGCTGGAACCATTATAGAGTATTAACAATTAACAAACATACAAAATCTGAAATATTCCAATCATTTAAATCTGGTAGAAATTATGTTTGTTCAACCCAGATGAACATGATCCAAGTGACACTGATATATTTCATGTTTCTACCTTTGTCTCTGTAATTCTCAGACCTACCAAAACCCAAATAATTCAACACAATGATCACTAATCTCACTTAGGTTCTTGTGATTATTGCAGCCTGTTTGTTGCACCAAGCAGCACTCTTCTGTGGTCTGTCCAGCTCAGATGGACGGATGAGGCGTCTCTAGCATTTGTGTCTGTGGGAGCTGTTCTGATTCTGGACAAACTAAAGACTTAGCCTCCATTAGCGTTTGGAAGTCATGTTTCTCCTTTCTATTCTGCAGAGGAATGTACCAACAAAAAATTGATATTTCTGTGTTTATATGACCTATTTTGTTTCTCCTTAAGCTAAAATGAGGTTTGGAGTTCCTCAGGGATCCATTCAGGGTCCTCTTCTGTTTATAATTTGCTGTATGCTTGTATAGATTATTCACCACCATGACATCTTTCTGTCATATAGAGAAGTAAAATTACAGTGAAAATATATTTTTAATACAATATGTGCAGTTAGTATAATTGATAGTCATTTTACAACTTTGAAGTTTTGCGCTAAAACAGATGCACAGGTGCTGCAACATCATCTTACTGTGACAATAAGCCAGACAGACAAACTTCTGGATCTTCTGTGTCTTGATTTAGGCATTGGAAACGCAACACAGCACTGTCACCATCAAGTTAGAGTAGGAATAACAAGACTGCTCTTAGTGATGTTCACCCAGCAGACTCTTATTAAAAATGTTAGTTTTTTCTTTATTTAAAAAAAATAATAAAAAAATTGATAGCAGACCATCGTTAAACAGAAAACCTGTTCTGAAGGTCTTATGAGGCTTCGACAGGTGGATGAGCGGCTTAAATCAAGACGTCTTTGGAGCCGTGCAGCTTTATGAAGAGTCTTTATTAACAAAAATAAATGAATCTGAAGGGCAGACACTGAAATCTTAACACAAAGACACAAACATGCAGAGAGACAGCCAGGTGTGTGTTAGTGTGTGTGACAGTGTCTGCTTCTATCTTTGTGAGGACAGTGGTCAGACCTGGTTCGGTGTTATGTCCTCACAAGCATGAAAGCACTAGTGTGTGTGTGTGTGTGTGTGTGTGTGTGTGTGTGTAGGTGTGTGTGTGTATGTGTGTGTAGGTGTGTGTTCAGTAGCAGCGCAGGAAGAAGGTGTTGCAGGCCGTCCCTCTCAGGCAGTCGCACAGTCGGCCAATCCGAGGTCCATGTTTCATCGCACAGCGCTCGCCAACGTCACACTGAAGGAGACAGACAGGGTTCAATTAATTATGATGAGTTAAATTGCTTTTGAAAACTACTGGACACAACTCACAAGAATCAAACAAAAATACATAAAATGAAAGCAAAAAATGAGCTCAACTGCAGATCACACTAACAGTATACAGAGTGCTACATGTGATCTTTAATTAAACAGGGTTTCTCTATAGCATTCACTTTAATTAACCTCTCAGTTCTAAAGTTCTCGTGTGGGCGTGTCTTAGTGTGTTCATCCCTATTGGCTAATAAGACAGGACAAGATGTAAATCGTTTCTCCCAACCAATTAACAAGTCTTCTTCATTTTTCTGAGGTTATTAGTACAAAAATGTGTGCTAATAACAACATGCAAACAACATGAGAACAATAAATCTCTCGCTAAATTAAGCTAACATGCTATTAGTCTAACAATATGAATGAAAAGCTAAGCAAAACTTAGATCTGAGAATAACAAAGTCAGGCCAACGGTAGCCATTACGCTATTAAATGGAGAAAATAAATAATACGCTAAATTAAGCTAATGTGCTATTAGTCTGACAGGCTAACTAAGGCTAACATGCTCTTAATCTGAGAATATGAATGCCAGGCTAACTGAAGCTAATTCACTGTTAATCTAAAACATAACATTAACCTCAGGCTAAATGAAGGTAGCATGCTATCAACTGGAGAATATAAATCTCAGGCTATGTGAATATGCCATTATTCTGAGAACATGGCTCTCGGGCTATATGAAGCTAAAACGCTTTTAATCTAAGAATAGAAAACACAGGCTAACTGAAGCTAACATGCAATGGAGAATACAAATTGGTGACCAACTGAAGCTACTGTGTTACTAATCTGACAGTGTGAATTTTAGGCTAACTGAAGCTAATGTGCTAATAATCTGGGAATATGAACCTCATGCTAACTGACGGTAACACAGTACTAATCTGAGAATATGACACCTGAAGCTATCGTGCTGTCATTCTAAGAATACTGACCACTATTCTACAAGCTACAATAGGCTAAAATATGTAGAAAACAGCGAACAGCTACAACCTCACATCATATCACTATTAATATCATAGAAATTTGCACTGTTTTTTACCATCACAGTTTTTTGCTTTTTTGCATTTTTAAAAATTCTTATGAGATTTAGATTAGACCCATTATTATATATTACAACTGATAATAATAATAATAATAATAATAATAATAATAATAGGAAGATGTTCTCACCCGCGGGATGACGCTGGCTTTCTTCTCCACAGAAAGTGCGACTCTGCTGTCGGCTTCATCCAGGAGACCCTGCAGAGCTTCAGCCTGCACGCACAGACACACAACACACACACACACACAGTGGAAACAAGTTTATACACAGACACACAAACACACACACACACACAGTGGAAACAAGTTCAAAAACACAGGCAAAGAAAATACACACAGCCACTTGTTAAAAGAAACTCACTCACAGACACACAATAACAAATGAAAACACAAATACACACAGACATACAGTAAAACAAACAGCTGGTCACACAGATACACGTCCTGTGAGAATGTGTGTTGTTGTATACGTTGTATTTACACTCTAACTGTGCATGTGTCACACACAGATCAGTGGTTTCCTGTTTCATGCTGTCAGAAATGAAACTCGAGTTTGAAGCGTCTGTTTTCTGTCTCAGCCTCAAAGTCAACAACAGAGCTGTTACACAATCTGCATCAGTTTTCATCCGTTTAACAAACAGCTGGTTAACGTCAACACAACAAGAGGCGTTCAGGTGCAGCGTTGAGCCGTAGGTCACCCCGCTTTTGTCTCAGTTGTAAGAATTAAAGCTTCACTTTGTGTCTACAGGTGGGTAAAGTGCAGGTGACAAGCAGGTTGTGGAGACTAAAATGCACAAATTCACCCTAAATTATTTAAATCTGCATTAAAGTTGTGTCATCAAGATTTTTTTGTGCGTTTCAGTTCATTAACAGATAAAAAAAACATCACATAAGGTTGTAAGTTTCTTCCACAGAGGAACTGTGATGCTGCGACTAACAATTATTTTCATCTCCAAATGCCTGACAGCCACTTTTATTGGTACTTGGCTGATTCTTCAGAAAATAAAATGTCAGAAAATGATGAAAAACAACGTCACTGTTCTGTGAAAGCCAAAATGAGAGCAATAAATAAATAAAAACAGCGACAATAAAACAGAAAAGTACCGAATATTCAAATAATTTCTTCCCAAACAACTGATCAGTTATTCCACAGATATTCATTTTGATATTTTACATTCTGGCTGCCAAACTAATTATAATCAGAAATTATTTAGCTAAACTATTTCAGTTTCTCTATTATTTATTGTGGTAGTTAGCATTTTAATTCATTTTATTCTTTTTATCATTTTCGTTGTCTTCATCGTTTTATTTTTTCTTAAATCCTCAGAAACATCGCTGGACTTTTGTTGGTGTTTCGGTGCCTCAGACAGTCCGACTGCTGTGACCTTTAATAACCTTTGATGACCTTTAAGCTGACCAGGATCCAACGACTGACTTCATTCAACACAACTGACCTTTATTCTAAATAGTAGCAGATAAACTTTTAGCTGTTTTCTGATGAAGTTTGAGCTCCTTCATCACTTCATTGTTCTAATGTGACCTTCATTAATCACCTTAATTATCGGCCTTCTGAACCCTAATTAACAGTTTCATTATTTGCAATAACTTCTCATCATGTCTGATTTTAACTGTAACCATCTGTAGTTTAAACATTTTATCCACACTATTAGTTTTTACTGACAATTTCCATCTTAATTGATTTTATTTTTGTGTCATTAAACCGTTTTAATTATGTATCTGTTACGTTTTAATTATAATCCTAATTTCCCACAGTTTGATAATGTGGTCTTTTCGCGCAATTATTTGTTGTCTAAATTCACCATTTTACCACATTAATTGGAATTTAATTGCAATGTTAATTTCAAGATAACTAACTCTTCTTTAATCACCTTCATTTAGCAACATTTCAACTAATTCTAATGGATTTATTTCAGTATGTCAGTTTAAATGTTTGCATAAAAGTTCTTCATCTTCTGACTGGGTTCACATCTTCATTAGTTAACTGTTAATTAATACTCATTTGCTGTGTCACTACCATCATTAATGATGTAATTACTTATAATTTAACTCTTATTTGACTTTTCTGACCTCCTCCATTACAACAAAATGAACCAATTCAGCATCCTTCATCGCTTAATGACCTTTAATCACCTTTAAGTTAGATGAGACGTCTTAACTGGTTCAAAATCAATTAAAATGTGGTTAAAAGTCTTTTCTTTCTGTAAATAGGTTCCATTTGACGAACTTTCCACTTAAATCATTTTTTTCATACGGTTGCATTTTAATACTTTAATTAGCAACAGAGTCCCAGTCTGACCTCGTTTATTACTTAAACTTTGAGGTTTTCTTATTTCTACTCGTCAGCCACCTCTCATCCTTTATTTTCTATTGTGTTAATTTGCCGCTTTTGTTTGTTCTAATTTAGCCACATTTCCAGCACAAGCATAAGCATCATTTATATCTTTGTCACAGTTCGATATCTTAAAATTCTTAAATAAAATCTGACACAAAAACATTTTATTGATTTTATTTTGTAACGGATTTATTAACCCTCTGTCATAGTTATAATTTACTACTTTATGAGTAGATAATATCTGATTTGTGCAAAGTTCTCTTGTTTTACCATCAGAACTTAATTAAAGACTTTCAGAATAAAAGCCTGCACGTGGACAGGCGACTCACCAGCTCGTTGGTCGTGAGTCCGAGGATCGACTCGTCCGGCGCCGACGGCAGCTGGCTGTCGGCCGACCTCTGACCCTGGCAGAGCGACGTCAGCACGGACAGACAGACGGACAGGTAGACGACGGCTCGCACACTCTCCATGGTCGTGGACACACCTGGAGGGAACAGAGAGTTTACACTGTCTGACCACATGCTCGGCTAAAAAGTGTTAAAAAGTGAATGAAGTTCTGCATGAACTCACTTTACAGAAACAGATAAAGATCCTGCAGGAACTCCGTGGAGGGTTTTCTTCTTCTTCTTCAGGCAGCTTAGTCTCCAGCAGCTTCTTCTCTTTCGTCCTTCGTCTCCCTCTTCCTCCTCATGAGCTCTGCTGTCTCCCCCTCCTCTATTTATACCACCTCACCCTCCTCACCCTCCTCCTCACCTTCCTCCTCCTCCTCCTGCCGCCCGCTCACAGATTATTCATGTATTCAGCTCATCAGATAAAGCCGGTGGACGCGCGGCGCTGTGATTGATGGTGCGTCTCCGAGTTAATATTAAACAGGTCGATGCTGAGCGTCGTCGTGGAAACACCTGAGAGGTCAGAGGTCGCGTGGTGACTCAGAGCTGAAGGTCGGAGGAGCGACTCCTCATCATTGTCTTTAATCGACAGGTCACGCGTCCTCTAATGCGTCTCCATCAGCGAGTTCACCGCTTAACGAGCTAAAGTTGCTCTAATTACAGATCAATGAGCCCCTCCCCCTTTAAAACAAGAAACAACACACCTGAAAGACACACAATGACCTCGTGGCCACATTGGTCGTGCTCCTTTTTTAGTCTCTTTGCTGTCGTTTTGATAGTTTTTTATCTTTTGTCGTCTCTGTGATCATGTTGTGTCTCTAAACCAAAGTTTCGTGTCTCTTTGTGATCTTTTAGTGTCCGTCTGAGAGCTTTTTTTTTTTGCCTCTTTTCAGTACATTTGCGTCTCTTTGGAGTCCTTTTTTTAATTAGTCTTAGTGGTCGATTGCATGTCTTTGTAGTGATTGTGTGGTCAGTTTTTGAGTGTTTTGTGTCTCATTGTGGTCAGTTTGTATCTGTNTACTGATTGTTAATATGACGGAAACAAAATGCAAACGACCATCAAAACATGCAAAAAAAACAAAAAGAAGCAAAAAACAAACAAAAAAAAAAGGTAAAAATAACAACAATGAGACATAAACCAACCAACAAAGCGATGTATAAGGATCAAAATGTGACACAAAGAACCCAATATTAAATGTGAACACCCACTAAACATGTCAAATGGCCAAAATGAGGCACAAACAGTCACAAAAAGATGTGACAAGATCAAAATTGGACACAAAACAGCCCATATAAAATGCTATCAACCACAAAAAGATGAAATATGACCGAAATGAGACAAAAAACAACCACAAGAAGATATAAAACTACAGAAATAGGACCCAAAACAACCACAAAGACAAAACACAATCACAATGTGACAGAAACCAACTACCAAAAAAAAAATCAAATAAGCAAATTGAGGCATAGACGAACTGCATAAGAACTAAAACACTTCATGACACGTCATGCTTTATCGTGTTTATTGGGACAGTTTGTCGTCACAGAGACACAAACTCAGAGTGTGAGTTTCGGTGCTGCTGCTGATGTTGTGTCTCAGTTTTATCTGCCGACAGACGACTTTCACTGAAGGTCACAAAAACATCAAACGCACCTTTCATCCTCAGAGTGTGTGTTCGACTCTGTGTGGACGCATTTCAGTTGGAAAACGTCACCATGACCATGTTTCTGCATGAGGAGGACACGTCTACATGATCAGGACAGTTCTACTCTATGAGGACATTTCCACATTAGGAGGACATGTCTAGACCGTGGGGACAAATCTGGACTGTGAGAACTTTTCTGCTCTCTGGGGACATGTCTACACTCAGAGGACATTTTTGCACTGTAAGAACATTCTTCACTGTGAGAACGTTCCATGCTGTGAGGAAAATTCCGCATTAGGAATACGTTTCTGCATCAGAAGGACATTTCTGCTGTGTGAGGACATTCTGCAAAAAAAGAAAAAAAAAGGATATGTCTGCACTGTGAGGACATTTCTGTGTTAACGATGTTCTTGTACTTGCAGTTTAAAGGGTGAAGCAGAAGGACAAAGACATGTTCCGGTCTTGTCCTCCCGACTGTGGACACGTCGTCCTTGCTTCTGCGTTCAGACGCTAAAAACTATTTCAGTATCATTTCTCGGCAGGTTTGTGGTTTCGTGCAGATTCCTCCTGGACTGAAATAACCGCTGAGCCCGAGGCGTCCGTCACCTCGTTCTCTCAACACTCTCCGTGAGTTTTGACACCGACGGACTTGTCCTCGCTAACAGACACCTCCGATCACGATCAAACCTCGTCACACAGCAAACACCAGAAATAAACCACAACGTGTGAAACTGGAGGCTTTCTTGCAGACGTAGTGAAGGAGTCACACTGACTTCATTACATCTTCTGTCAGATTCACACCAGCAAACATGAAGAGCTGAAGTTTTCAGATTAGCTGGTTGTTAGTCCCGTTTTTTCTGTTGTAGCACCGAATGTAATCTTTGTGTGGAGGACAAAATATCACACAGTCATCAGCAAATGAATAAATCAACACAAAGCTAAACACAAACAACCACTAAAAGATAAAAGTTTAAAGCAAACAATGACAGAAATGTGCAAAACAACCAAAATGTGACAACACAATCAAAAAAGCAATATAAAACTACCTAAATGTGACGCAAAACAATAAAAAAAAAAGATTTAAAACTACCAAAATGTGATGCAAAACCCCCAGAGAAAGATGTAAAATGATCAAAACTAAAGGCACACAATCACAACAAGATGTGAAACAACCAAACCTTGAGGTAAAACAACTAAAAAAAGATGACAACCAAACAAAATGTGACACACACACAAAAAAACAACACAAAAAAAGATGTAAAATGATCAAAATTAAATGCAAATGACCACAAAAGATGCAGAATAACCACCAACTAGTGTTGTAGACGTTAAAGAAAACGCTGAACAAGAAGCTGGTGATAATTTTTTTCTATATTTTATTGCAAAACACAAACAAATATAAACAATAAAGCAAATGAACAACATCTGTTCAAATTGTTCTGGAAGTTTTTCTGTCACATTCTTTAGTTTTTTTTTCTGTTTTTACTGCATAAAAACCATTTTAAAAGTGTTTCTTGTGCTTTTTTTAATCTCCTGCTGCTGTTGTTGTTTTTGCAGTTTTAAAATATCAAAATAAACATTTAGATTCTATCTGTCTAATAAAACTTTATGACAAAATGATGGACGGGCTTTTAATTTGACAGGACAAGGTGGCAAATGTTTTAAAATATAAACTGACATTATTTTTGATGCAACAGCCCAGGTTCATTTCCAATCATTTTTATCATATATCTTTATTCCAACGCTTGTTTTCGCTACAGAACAACAGAACTAAATAAAACAATAAGTGCTGCTCGTTGGCAAAGTGCTGGTGTTTTATTCACCTTGAAACTGCACGTGTGAAAATGTTTAAGATAAACTGTGGAGGAGTGAAGTTTGTAAAATAAAATCAAGCTAAGAGAGAGAAAAAAAATCACATTTACAGACACAACAGGACGTTCATGTGCTCATAGTTTAGATGATCTGGATTGTTAAAAAAAATAAAAAAAAAATGTCTTCACCGTCAGAATCTGTCGACACCCGAATAGAAAGTTCATTTACAACAAAACTACAGAGTTCAGTCGTTGATTTCATCCTAAAAACACATTTCTAATATTTATCTTTCAGCTCTGTTTAATCATCGGAACCCCAAAACCTGTTGTTGGGTTTGGAAGTCAAGAAAAAAAAAATATCTCCAAAATAACACTATTCATCAGCCAGAAACTGTGAGAGAATCATCTGTGACAACTGTCTGTCTAGAAAATTTATCACATCTAAGCTTAAAAATCAGGATATTTCATTAAAATTTCATTATTCTATGTTCCTTTTTTTTTTTTAAAATATCCTAAAAATACATTGTTTGCCCTCACCAGAGTCTGTAAAAAACTAAAAATTCAGTTATTAATGACTCAGTTGTGAACCATTTGGTTGAACTGCAGGCTGTGTGTACAACAGAAACAAACAGAAGAACAAAAATATCTATAGTCTGTAGTTTCACCTTTTATGTTGGTAGCATATGTGGGCGCTTGGAAAAATGTTGTACATGTTAAATCTATTTATATTTTCATTTATTTTATTATATAAACTAAACAATAGAAGAAATTGAACTTTAGTTATGGCTTTTTCTATTATTTATGGCATTAGAACTGTGTCATACTACACAGGAGGCGTTTCTGAGTTCTCTCACCTTCTAGTCGTGGTTGTTCTGTTTCCATAGCGATGCAGAACTTTATATTGCAGTGAAACCTGAGCCCACCGTGAGTAGAAACGTGACAGGAGCCATAGGCATCCAGAAACTGCTTGGGGTTCAGAGGGTTAAACATGGCGGTTGCATAGTTTTAGTTGGTCTTGTTGGCCACTGAGACCCAAAGCTTTTGTGGTGCAGTGGAACCAGTTTCCTGGTTGGTATTTTTGGCTGTGGAAGAACTGGTTCAAGGTTTCGTACCAACCCTAAAGCCACCCTCAAACTGCTTCCGTGGAAAGGCATTGCCAGCTGGAAGGAGGATGTTGGGGTGGATGGAGGGCACAAAGATCAGGACTGAACAGGTTCAGACTCCTGACAAACGTTTAGTCTTAGGAATGATGCTGAATATGGTTTAATGTAAATTTTCTACAACAATAAGCTGTTTAGGTTTGTTATTGTTGGACACGCAAATAATTATTTTTTCACGCGTGTCATTTGGGAATCAGAAGGTCTTTTATCAATAGTCAGAAAATCTGTATTCATTGATTGGTTGCAGACTTGCAGTTCTTCTCTGAAGAAATCATTAGCAGAACCTCCCCTCAGGTTTTCTGTAATTATTTGCAATAATTGAGGCAAATGGCACACAAACCTCACAAAAAACAATAAAAGCAACAGCTGAGGTCATGAAACAAAAACGGGGCCTCAACATGGAGGATGGAGAGCCTGAATCAGTTTGTGTTAAGTGGTACAAATTTCTCACAAATGTACGATTAAATCAAATCTTGTGGATGTTGAAGGGCAAGGTTGAGTATTTTAGTAGGAAATACAAATGGTCTGACGGCATTTGGTGCCAATGTTTTTGCAAAGTAACAAATGTGTCAACTAACATAATTCCTTCATGAATAGACAACTTTAACTTGCTATTAAGAATAGAAATGTAATTTCTGGGAGACAGGTGGACTCTGTAGTGTTGGCATAAA